CTCCACCCTACCAAGCATGACATCCTTCTCCAGGGAATGGTCCCTTCTTACAACATGACCAAAATAGGTGAGACGAAGTCTGGCCATTCTTGCTTCCAAGGAGCATTCTGGCTGCACTTCCTCCAGGACAGATCTGTTAGTTCTTTTAGCAGTCCACGGTACTTTCAGCATTCTTCGCCAGCACCACAACTCAAAACCATCAATTCTTCTTCAGTCTTCCTTATTCATTGTCCAGCTCTCACATGCATACGAGGTGATTGGAAATATCATGGCTTGTGTCAGGCGCACCTTAGTCCTCAAGGAGATATCCTTGCTCCTCAGCACTTGAAACAGTTCCTTCGCAGTTGACTTTCCCAGTGCTACACGTCGTCTAATGTCCCGACTGCTGCTTCCATTGGCATCAATTGTAGAAGCAAGCAATGTGAATTCCTTGACAACCTCAATCTTCTCTCCATTTATTGGGATGCTGCTCATTGGTCCAGTTGTGAGGATTTTTGTTTTCTTTATATTGAGACGTAATCCATACTGCAGACTGTATTCTTCAACCTTCATCAGTAGGTGCCTTAAGTCATCCTCACTTTCAGCAAGCAAAGTTGTATCGTCTACATATCTCAGGTTGTTCATGATTCTTCCTCCAATCCTGATACCATGTTTTTCTTCATATAGTCCAGCTTCTCAGATTATTTGCTCAGCATATAGATTGAATAAGTGTGGAGAAAGGATACAACCCTGACACACTCCCTTCTTGATTTTAAACCATGTAGTGTCCCCTTGTTCTGTTTGAACGACAGCCTCCTGGTCAAGGTACAGATTCCTCACGGGTACAATCAAGTGCTCAGGGATTCCCATTCTTCTCAATGTTATCCATAATTTGTCATGATCCACATAATCAAATGCCTTTGCGTAGTCAATAAAACACAAGTAAACATGTTTCTGGTATTCTTTGCCTTGAGCCAAGATCCATCTGACAACAGCTATGATATCCCTTGTTCCACATCCTTTTCTGAATCCGGCTTGAACCTCTGGAAGTTCTCTGTCAATATACTGCTGCAAATGTTTCTGAATTATCTTCAGTAAGATCTTACTTGTGTGCGATATTAATGATATTGTTCTATAATTTCTACATTCTGTGGGATCACCTTTCTTTGGAATGGGCACAAATATGGATCTCTTCCAGTCAGTTGGCCAGGTAGCTGTCTTCCAAATCTCTTGGCATAACTGAGTGAGTGCCTCCAATGGGGAGTGCCGCCCATCATTAGACGTATGAAAATCTCAAGGTGTGAACTTGAAACTGAGAGGTGAAAATGTACAGCTGACAAGTTGAGGGGAAAAAAAAATTCATGCTTCTTGTGTCTAGGGAAAAAAAAACTCACTGCCATCGAGTCGATTCCAACTCATAATGAACCCTTTTGGGTTTTCGAGGCCATAAATCTTTATGGAAGGAGACCTCCCAGCCTTCCTTCCACAGAATGGCTGGTGGGTTTGAACCGCCAGCCTTCTGGTTAACAGTCAAATGCCTTAGGCACTACACCACCAGACTCCTTCTTGTGTCTAAAGGCAGCTCCAATTATGTCTCTCAAAAGGTCAATACTAAACATTTAAATTTAAATGGCAATGAACTGAGGTCACCAGACAAGGCTATGTAATAAGCTTTGCAGAACGTACTTCAAAAGGGAGAATTCAAAGCACTGTAGATATTGTAGCTAGACGAGATCTCAAAATGTTATGTGGTTAGGCTTCCAGCAATATTAGTCAGTATAGTGACTTGGAATGGTAAATAACAGCCTGTAATACTGCAAACCAGACTTGATCATTGATTCTTGACTCTGTCACTTATAAATCTGAAGTTGTTCTTTTACCTTTCTGAGCCTCAGTGTCCTCATCTATAAAATAGAGATAATACTAGTACGTACCTCAGAAAGTTATTGTAGTGGCTGTTACAATATAGAATTATATTACTATTGTTGTTAGCATGTTAGGCTTTATTATATTCATTTCAAAGATGAAACAACTAGGCCCAGACAAATTTAGAAATCTGCCCAAGGTTTCAGAGCTAGTATTTATAAGAAGGTTTTTTTTTCCTCCTAGGGTAGTGCTCTTTTCATTTCATTATGCTTCTCCATTGAAGCAATACAAAACTGAACCCCGAAAGGATTTTCACTAGATGAATCAAATTCAGAATGAAAGTAAAATAAGAAGCTTCTACCATTCATGTCTTGTCTACCAAATACTTCTAATTTCGTTGTACATCCACATCTTTCAAGTCTTTTTTTTAAAAAAAAAGTTTTCAGAGCTTCTCAAAATGACCTGCCCAGGCCAATCTGGTGTCTTAGAGTTACAGCAGTGTCAGGTATGTGCCATTCACATACATTATGTAATTTTTAGTATTCTGAGGACAAGTAGCAGCTCACTTGGGTTTCTCCTTGCCCAGAGCAAAAAGAATGAAGAAAACCAAAGACACATGGAAACAATTAGTCCAAAGGACTAGTAGACCATGTGATCCTCAGCCTGTATGACCACGAGACCAAAAGAACTAGATGGTGCCTGGCTACCACTGTCAACCACTTGGAGGGGGACTGATGCAAGAGATCCTAGATAGAGTGGGAGAACACAAGACCCCTGAGACTACAGCCCCCAGTTACCCATCAGGTCTAGAACTGAACTCACACCTATGACTTCCAGCCAAACAATGGAAGGCATATGGGGTGAACATTTATATCAGGTAGATACACTCCTTGGAACAATCAATTGTGGAAGAAGAGAAGGGCAGTGTTTGCACAGGGAGATAGCTGGGGGCGGAGCAGAAGTACATGGGAGGGAAAAACACGGGGAAGAGGTAACTACAGTGAAGAAGTGAAAAGAGCTGCTACATTGTAAGGAATTGCAATCAATGTCATGAAACAAAATGTATATGAACTGATGCATGGAAAATGAATTTGCTCTGTAAACTTTCACCCCAATCACAATAAAAAAAAATTTAAAAAACAGAAAAGAAACAAGCAGCTCACTTGGCAACTAGATTTCCATCAGCACTATGGAAAATCTTAAGATTTTTTTCAACAGTGTACTGACTGATAAAAGCTACAGTCAATAGCATTTTGAAGCTGTTATAAGACTTACTATTGGCTTTTTAAGAGCTCTGGTAGCATAGTGCCTAAGGTATTTGACTGCTAACCAGAAGGCTGGCAGTTCAAACCCACCAGCCACTCTTTGGAACGAAGGTTGGGCAATCTACTTCTATAGTGATACTGACTCGGAAACCCAAGGAGGGGTTGCTATGAGTCGTATATGACTCCATGGCAGTGGGTTGGGTTTGGTTTATTGGCTTTTTAGAGTTCAGTAACAGGTACACAGATGAGTGGGGTTCACTTTTGCTACACATATGGCATATAGCTTCTCAGATGGCAGAAGACAGGGCTTTATCAAAAAGAACCAAAAACAAAACAAAACAAAAAAAGAGAAATTGCAAAATAAAAAAGTGTACATTTTCCTCTCTCAAAAAAAAAAAAAAGAAAGAAAGAAAAAACAATAGAAAGTCATTATTAACAAGGTTAAGAAAAAGTAGCATACAATATCTTAAAATATAGATACAGTTGTAGAATCAATAAATATTTACCTAACACCTATTATACACTAAGTATCATGCCAGGCACTGGGAATACAAACATGAAGAAATGACCCTAAATGAACAATGTAACAGGGAAGAGATTTATAAAGGAGACTGGTGGGGAGGGGTTAAAATGAAAAAAAAAAAAAGGCAGAAAGAAACATTGCCCAGAAGAGTCATATTTCACTTGGCAAAGAGCCACCAGACTGCTGGTACAGATTAAATGGCCTAGAAATGTAACCCCTCGGCTTGGTAGTTCTGTAAAAGCAAGCAAGGCTTGCAAGATCTCAGCCTTTATTCCCTGCCCACCTCATTCGCTTCAGCCCACACCATGAGAACAAGTAAGATTCCTTTCTCTACTTCACCCTCCTTTAGAAGACTGGGAAAAAGGACCAGCTGTGCTCCCAGAAATCCTGTTTTTCCCAGGAACTTGAAATTCCAGTCTATAAGAAATCTAGATTTTATTTACATGACCAATAGATCAGAAAAAGAGCTAAGGAAAGTCAAGAATTCTCCTAACAGCAACCCAAGTTTAGGCCATTAGGACAGTCATCTGATCTCCAAGGAGCCTCTGAGGAATATAAAGGAAAAAGTCTATTTTCAAGGAGGATAGATTTGAGTTCATGATTCATTTTAAATGGACTCATGTAAGAGGCTACTCTTCCTTTCTTACAATATTCCTTATAAACCAGCAAAAAAAAAGAGAGAGAGAGCCCAAATGATTGTATAGTAACAAACGTTGGTAGTAAAAATAATGCTTTGTATTTCTTTAGTATGTCCTTTCATGAAGATCCAGGTGTTCTAAAGTGATTATCTCATTCAGCCTACAGTTGTGTGAGATTAAAAAGTGATAACGTAGTAATCAGTTTGATTTTTACACATCCTGAGTCTACTTTACGGAAAAGCCTGAGCCTTCAAAGGTATAGCTGTGAAAACTATTCTGCCTCTAGAAATACTCTTCAATTATTAAGTTATTGAGACAACAACCTACAGACAGAATTACAGAGGAACATCATCCTAAACATTTCCATGGGAGAAGTGAGCCATGAAAAACACAGGCTAAAAGGAACACCAACTAAAGGAAATCAGAGTGACCATTTTGAATAAAGGAGAAAGCTGAAAATTGTAAAAGGGACCTAAATGAAACATCTAATAGCTCAAGCAGTTGTAGAGACACCGTAGTTATAATGATACATGAGACATATTGTTAGACAAAATGAGCTGCACCAGACACATGCTCCAAAACATGTTTGGGCAGCACTTGGCCAACTAAAACTAAGCAACCACTGCCACTACATAATCAGCATTGTCCTGCTCTATTCTTCATGTACCCTGTCTGCTTCCAAGCGCCTCATCTGGGCTCACCCTATTGGCAAAGCATTCTTGTACTTACTATTCAGTGAAGAACCTGGCAATGCCATACTGGCTAATATCCTCCTTGTTCTCTAGCAGCTGGCACACGGCGTCCTCCATGTACGTAAGGACATGTCGCTGAGCTGCAAAAAAAAAAAAGAAGAGGGAAAGAGAATGAGAGAAAAACACAATTTTCTCAATCTCAGTAGAAAGCCAGGTAAGTTAATCAAGGTGTTGGCTGGTCACTAGGAAGTGGGGATAGCACAGGCAAACCAAACTTGCTGCCCCTAAGTTAGGGTCTCAAAGAACAGAATGGGATATGATACAGAACATAATCCACTTCTATTTGACTGACTGTTAGTATCACTATCAACCCTTCATTCTTCATTTAGGTGATGAAAGTAGGTGAAAAGAAGTTTTAGCACCATTTAGCAGATACACCTGGAAGTTTTCTCCTCTCCTCCTTCCACTATCTTTCATTCTTCTGCAGGTCTCAGAAAAGTATCTCAGAGAGTCAGTGATTCCATGCCTAAAGTGTAGATGGTTTGATTGTAAAGAAAACTTTGTGCTTTAAAAAAAAAATCACCGAAAAAGTTCAAGGAAAATTTCAGCACTGGCATTTATGTAAGTTATTAACCTTACGTAACAAGGTAAATAATAAGACCATCAAATGTGTGTGCCTCAATTAACTAAAAATCATGTTTTCCACACTGGCTGTGATTGGAAAATGTGTGAATTAAGCATGGTCTTGCATTACAATTAGACAGACCTGGGTTTGAATCATGGCTCTGTCTTTGGTAGCGTCATCTTGGGCAGTTACCGAACAATCTGCACCTGTTTTCTTCAAAATGGTTGAAAAATTTAACCATTTTTCAAAGTATGGTAATGTAACTCCTTGATCAGAATCATCCCCTAGGGTGCGCTGTTAAAATGCAGACTTACAGGCCCATCCCAGACTGAGTGACCTCAAATTTCCAACAGAGGTCAGTCATATTCAACAAGCACTTGGTGCTTCTTATGCACCCAATGATTTAAGAACTACTGGTTAAGAATTTGGGTTTTGGAATTTGGTCATAGTTTCATCCATCAGGAAAATATGAGAGTTAACTAACATTTATGAAAATGGGTGCTTCAGAAAACTATTCCTGAAGTCCTGGTAGTATAGTGAAGCTTGTAAAGCAAGTAAGTTTAATGTAAGCTGTAATAAAGTCTTCATTTGACGATGGTCACCTAAGGTTTCACCACATTTGCTCTAGCCTAAAGGCTAGATGCATGATGTGCTTACTACGTTCCATGATTTCTTCTATATATCTGAGTGAGTTTGTTCTATCTATATGAGTGGATCCCAAAGCTAACATCTATCAACCACTGCAAACATTGCTCAATCACCCCAAAAGATGTGAAAATAGAATCAGTGCTTCATCAATAATTCATCCAACTGGGAAACTATTTCTTTAAGAAATGGTCAAAACTGAGAGTGAATCTGGCATTGTTTTCAAAATACCAATTATAATTAAGTGCCTATTACATTGGAAAGAAGAAATGACCAGATTAACATTAGGATCAGCCATCTTTTCAGCTCTGTATTCCCCTTTCTTCTTCAACACTAAGGGCCCTGGTGGCATAGTGGTTAAGCACTTGGCTGCTAACCAAAAGATTGGAGGTTCAAATCTACTAGCTGCTCTGCATGAGAAAGATGTAGCAATCTGCTTCTTTTCTGTCCTATGGGGTTCCCTATGAGTCAGAATTGACTTGATGACAATGAGTTTCTTCTTCCCACTTATCCCGATCTTACTAACAGATTCTTCCCTTGGGCTATATGGGCTTTTAGGGGTGAGATCTACCTAAGGCTAAAACAGAACTGCTTTTCTTTTTGATGGTAGAAATGAAAGAGCTCCACTTAGAAGCAAATGCTGTTGCCTCTCCTCCGTAGCTCCAGGTCCTCAGAGTCAACATGAAATACCTATACGGGAGAAATGTTTTCGGAGCAGTTAGAATCAAAACACTTTTGTTCTCCAAGACAGAGAAGAGGAATTTTCTGGATAGCAGACTTTGCACCAAAATAATAATAATAAAGGACTATACAGTATTTGTTTAACATTCACCTGCCATTCAGATGTTTAGAGTTTAATACTACATATATTCATAACTGCTACATTTTTTAACACCTGGGCAACTTACTGAACAACAATGTGCCAGATACTGTGCTGTTTTACATGCAGTACTTTATTTAATCTTCACAACAATTATACAACAAAGGTGGTTTGTCTATTTCTAATTTCTATTTTACAAATGGGAGAACTGAGACAGAAATTAAATAACTTGCTCAAGATCAAGATGAGAAGCCAGAATTTGAACAAAGGTTTGTGTAATTCCAAGAACCCATTCTCTTAATACTATACTACACTAAACCAAAACCAAACTCACTGCCATCGAGCCCTTTCCAACTCATAGCAACCTCTCCTTGGGTTTCCGAGGTGGTATCTCTACAGAAGATTGCCCAACGTTCCTTCCGAGGAGTGGCTGGTGATTTTGACCTGCCAGCCTTCTGGTTAGCAGTTAAATGCCTTATGCCACCAGAGCTCCCATCATTAACCTTTCATGATCAATTACAGAAATAAATATTATCTTTCTTTTACACAACGAACAAGATTTACTATGTTGAGTAAAATCACCTGAGAGATGTGGCCCATTTGCTTATATGTAAGCTTAGATGGATGTGTGTATGTCCTGTCCCCACCTGCATAGCTGTGCATGCCAATCAGCATTTGTGTCAAGTTAGAACTTGTCCCCAAATTTCAAAGTTCACCCCACCCACCCCTAGTCACAAAGTGGAAACAGAAAGCACTGCCACTTTAAAAAAAAAGAAATCTGTGGGAGAAGAGAAGGCCCTTCCACAGAGGGAAAAAGGTTCCTTCCAGTAGAGAATCTCATACCAGCCAATTGAGCAAACTAAAACTCACTGCCGTCGAGTCGGATCTGATTCATAGTGACCCCTCCTTGGGTTTCCGAGGTGGTATCATTACGGCAGTAGATTGCCCCATCTTCCTTCTGAGGGCACTCTAATTGCTGCTCCCTGGTGGTTTCCTTCCACCTGCAGCTCTTCTCACTCCAATGTTCCCTCTGTGGCTAAGGGCACCATCCAGCCCTGGAAAATGCTTGCCGTTTATCAAACTTCAATGAGACAGAAGTTCAAAGCTCTTCCATGCCAATAAAACATGGAGGGTGTCGTTTTATATTATTTTTTAAATGCAAAGGAATATGCTTTAATTTATGTGAATGATTAAAGAAGAAAAACTGCACACCTGCACCCCTGAGGGCAGAGATACCTGGGCACCTTAGCTGCCCTCCTAGAAAAGGAAAAACATTTCAGATTGGCTTTTCCCCTTCTGCTTTGCTCTGACTTCCACAATAAGATCAGGATTAAGTCTTCCAACATGTACCAATAAGGCTCTACTGTCCTGAAATCCACACTTAGACCCAGTCATCTATGTCTTGTACAGATAGCTTAGCTGTCTGAGATGAGCATTTGTAACTTATCAAGCTGAACTGAAAATCTAAGTGAACTCTAAGTAAACATGGTATGATTCTTATATAAACCTAGCAACTGAAGGTAAATATAAGAAACTTCTTAATTCTCTTGAATCACCCCGTACTGATCACTTAATTGCTATACCATAATCACTCTAGTTAGAAAATAGGTACGATACTAAAGATATCTGATAATAAGTAGTTCTTTAGAAAATGTCCCATACATACATAAGGTAACATATTAAAGATTATATTGTGGTTTGTTTGTTTTTGAGGAGCCCTGGTGTTTCAGCGCTTTTTAAAGCACTGACAAGTGAAAGGTCAGTGGTTGGAACCCATCAGCTACTCCATGAAAGAAAGATGTAGCAGTCTACTTCTGTAAACACCCACCAGCCACTCCTTGGAAGGAAGGTTGGGCAATCCTACTTCCGTAGTGATACTGCCTCGGAAACCCAAGGAGGGGTCGCTATGAGTCAGGGCTGACTCGATGGCACATAACAACAACAACAACAACAACAACTTCTGTAAACATTACAGTCTTAGAAACCCTATGGGGCAGTTCTGCTCTGTCCTATAGAGTCGCGATGAGTCAGAATCAACTCAATGGCACTGGGTTTATTTTTTTATATTGGTTTTTATTGCTACAGACTGACTCTACAGATTACAACATATCAATTTACTGCAATGGTTAAGAGTTTTGGAATCAGACAGAGTTTGAGCATGGCCACTTACCAGCTGTAGGACTTTAAGCAAGCTATTAATCTCTCCTCCTTTTTCTGTAAAACTCAAGCAATAACAGTACCTACCACATAAGATCATGTTATTGTTGTTGTTTTTAGGTGTCATTGAGTCAGCTCCAACTCACAGTGACCCTATGTACAACAGAACAAAATACCACCACATCCTGTGCCATCCTCACAATTGTTGTTATGCTTGAGCCCATAGTTGAACCCTAGGAGCTCTGGTAGCATGGTGCCTAAGGCACTTGACTGCTAACCAGAAAGGGTTCAAACCCACCAGTCACTCCTCAAAGGGAAGATGGGGCAATCTACGTCCGTAGTGATACTGCCTCAGAAACCCAAGGAGGGGTCGCTAGGAGTCGGGTCCGACTCGACGGCACATAACAACAACATAGTTGAACCCATGGTGTCAATCCATCTCGCTGAGGGTCTTCTCCTTTTTTGCTGACTCTCTACTTACTTGAAGAAGTGCAGCCAGAATGCTCTTTGGAAGCAAGAATGGCCAGGTTTATTTCACCTACTTTGGTCATGTTGTAAAAAATAAAGGACCATTCCCTGGAGAAGGATATCATGCTTGTAAAGTGGAGGGTCAGGGATAAAGGGAAAGACCCTCAACAAGATGGACTGACACAGTGGCTGCAACGATGGGCTCAGGTATAGCAAGGATTGCGAGGATGGTGCATGACTGAGCAGTGTTTCATTCTGTTGTGTATAGGGTTGCTATAAGTTGGAGCCAACTCGACGGCACCTAACAACACTAACTAGTTTATTAAGCATGATATCCTTCTCTAGGGACTGGTCTATTCTGACATGACGACAGTAGATGAGATTAAGTCTGGCCACTCTTGCTTCTAATAAGCATTCCGGCTGCA